TACACATGGTTTACATTAAACCATAATTCATATCTGTATCTTTATGGGGTTCCCTGAACCCCCAGACTTCCCCCCACCCCGCCTTTGGCTTCCAAAATTTAACTTCTTTTTTTAACTGCATCTAATTACCTTTATCCAAATTATTATACAGTGGTACCTCGGTTTAAGAACATCCCTGTTTACGAACGATTCGGTTTACAAACTCTGCAAAGTAGTGTCTCCGGGAAGTAGTGTCCCGGTTTGCAAACTTTACCTTGGTCTAAGAACGGAATATGAACAGTGGAAAGGCACTGGCGGCGGGAGGCCTCATTAGGGAAAGCACGCCTTGGTTTAAGAACGGTTTCAGTTTAAGAATGGGCTTCCAGAACGGATTAAGTACGTAAACCAAGGTAACACTGTACTTCACTTTTATCCTTTGTCGTTTTAAGTTACAGTGCTATGTCAGTCCTGCTAACGTTTTTAAATCTTTACGATGTTCCTTAATATATTCTATAAGGTTATGCCATTCTCTATTAATTTTTTTATCCTCGTAGTGCCTGATCTTCCCAGTCAGCCTTGCCATCTCCGCATAGTCCATCATCTTCATTATCCATTCTTTTTTCGATTGGTCTCTTTCTTCTTTCCATCCCGGGGCAAATAGTATTCTAGCCACGGTCGTCACATACATAAACAGTACTTTCTTATCCTTCGGTAATTCCACCCCTGGCATTTCCAAGTCATTGCTGCATATGTAGCATGCTTTATGGGGAGTTGGCAGTGAATCTGGTCAGACTAGGACCTGGGAGACCAGGGTTCAAATCTCCACTTGGCCATGAAGTGGAGTGATCTTCTGCCAGTCACTGTCTCTTAGCCCACAACCAACCTCCCAGGTTTGTTTTGGGGGGGAGATTAAGTGAGATGAGGGAGAACCACGTACACAACCTTAAACTCCTTTGAGAAAAAGGTGGGATATAAACGCAGCCAATAAATAAATAGCTTATGCTTGCCTCCTTTAACTCCCCCGGTCGATTCTTCTTTTTCTTTTTCTCCTGAAAAATATGGTTTTTTAAAATGGTTACTTTAAAATGACAGGAGACATTTAATACCAATTTGCAGACAGTCAGCTCTCAAGAGAAGAAAAGACAGAGCCAAGAAAACCAAACACCAGAGGTCTTTCCTTAAGATATTTTTGACAAAGTGAATTTTTTAAAAAAAAATCTTACTTGTTTTGCTTCTTTATTACCAGAACTTTTTGTAAACTTTTCAGGAGTTTCCTTTAACACTGGGGGCTTGAGAGAGTGTTTGCTCCAGGCTCTGGGTTTCTGTGGGTCCCCAAAAGACTTACAAAATTCAACCTGCAAAAGAATAAAAAATGGTTATGGTGCAGGTCTTTATGATTCGATGGCACATTAGACTCAAGTACCGTATTTTTCGCTCTATAGGACGCACTTTTTCCCCTTCAAAAATGAAGGGGAAATGTGTGTGTGTCCTATGGAACGAAGACGCCATAGCCCCGCGACCCTCGCCCGGCTGGAGAGGTGACGCGCGGCTATGGAAGGAGCCTCTATAGCCGCACGTCACCTCTCCAGCTGGGAGAGCGCGTGCGGGGCTAAAGAAGCCATAGCCCCGCGACCCTCTCCCAGCTGGAGAGGTGACACTCGGCTATGGCAGCAGTCTCTCAGCTGCGCCTTTCCGCTGCTCCCTGACCTGCTCTTTGGGGCTGGTGGTGGGCTTCCCCCCGCCAGCCCCAAAGAGCAGGTCGAAAGGAACCTGAAGCCTGGAGAGCGAGAGGGGTCGGTGCACACCGACCCCTCTCGCTCTCCAGGCTTCCAAGGTAGCCGCCTGAACACACCTTAAATGGCACCTTGTTTTAGAGCGGGAAAACAAGAGGGGGAGAATTGAAGGGGCGCTGGGCAGAGAGGGGGAGGTTTTTTTTTCTTGTTCTCCCCCCTCTAAAACAAGGTGCGTCCTATTGTCCGGTGCGTCCTATGGTGCGAAAAATACGGTAAATCTGGTATATATGAACTTTCACACAACATAAAGGCTACTTCCAGGAATATAGTGCATGTTTAGTACTAATTTCTGTGGGGGGGTTTCTGGAAGCAAATCACAGAGATATTAACACTAAACTTGTGCTATATTACATTATATTTCTGGAAGTAAGTCATGTGCAGATATAGGCAAGGAAATGACATGGAAATGGAATAAGTTGCTGTGTGAATGCGGTCTTAGTTGGATACAACCCACTCCATATTTTATTTTTATTTTTTTGTCTTCCTGATAGGTGTTGTAAACAAAAATTGCCCTTTTCCCTTATGGGGTATCCAAGAGCCCATATAGAGTCCTTACATCGGTTCCCGATTGGTAGGAGAAAATAACAGAGGCCAACCAGAGAATATTGAGAAGCAAAGCAGCTAGTAAGCTAGATCTTTATTGATCTGTTGCAACAGGGTGCTCCCCTCACATGCAGGAAAGGAGGAGAAAAATGGTGTGCAAGGCCTTATAAAGACTTTTGAAATTGCCACCCTGTAGATCCTGTAGACCACCCCGAGAAACATCATACAGACATCACAGAAGGGGTGTAACCTAAGACCACCCCTCAGATACATCATACCTACATCACAGAAATTTAAATGTTGTCTTTCTCTTGTCCTTGTTTATCTCCTGTCTGGCAGGTTACTTGATTGGATTTTCTGGGTAGCCTGGCCAGTCTTTTGTAATGATAAATACTTAGTTCCTGAGCCAAGTCACAGGCTCACACCCTATTCAAACACAGACAGGATTTGTGAAGGAAAAGACAATGGGGAGGCTTTTCCATTTTGACCTTGCAGAGAAAAGATTTGGTCAGTTTAGGAATCAAAATGGTTCCAGGTTGGCCTTCCTGTGCTGATCTATGTATGTGCTTGGTTGGTACACTTATGAGCATTACCATATATCTAAGACCATAAAATTCCTATTACATAGGCAGCTAGGTTCAGAGTAGTGCACAGCAATCCCGACTCTTTCTCCCCACCTGGCAAAAAAACAAAAAACCTCAACATCCTGCACCTTTACTTGACATTATAGTGCATCTGAAAGACACCTCACCGTCACTCTGGCTGTGTCTATGAAGCTTTTGTTGAAATGGGCAAGGGCCACATTGGCTTCCTCTTCTGATTTAAAGCCAATAAACCCAAATTTGCGGAATTTGCCATCCTTGGTGAATTTCAAACTGCAGTCGGTCAGCGTGCCAAATGCAGCAAAGAGGTTCCGGAAGCGCTCTTCCTTCATCTAGAGGAAACAGATTTGTTCAAGCAGTGTTAAGAACACAACATGTCGGTAATGGGAAACCCAAAGCCCTTCAGGTCTTGCTGGACTATAGCTCCCATCGCAGGAAGCTGCCTTACACTGAGTCTGACCATTGGTCCACCTACCTTAGGACTGTCAACACTGACTTGTAGTGGCTCTTCAGAATTACAGGCTGGGGTCTCTCCAAGCCCTACCTGGGACTGAACCTGAGACCTTCTGGAAGCAAAACAGATGTTCTGCCACTGAGCTGCGACCCTTTATCCCTAGCAATGGAGCTGATGGGAGCTGGGATTCCAAAACCATCTGGAGGACCACAGGCTCCCCATCCCTGCAGCAGATAGTCTGTGGGCAGGAGGAGTCTTCAAGCCACTGTGGGAGGCTGGAAGTTGGGCTAGGTAGATTTTTGGTCTGATCCATCAGGCCTGTTTTTATAATGAAGTGGCAAACATCTGGGGCTATTGCAGCAGTTCTCAACCTGTGGGTCCCCAGATGTTGTTGGACTACAACTCCCATCATCCCTGAGCTCTGGACTTGCTAGCTAGGGGTGATGGGAGTTGTAGTTCAACAACATCTGGGTACCCACAGGTTGAGAAAGGCTGGTTTAGAGAAAAGGTGAAGACGAAGCAGCACGATAGAGATGTATAGGATTATGCATGATGTAGAGAACATCCCCATCTCCCATAACGCTAGACATCCAATAAAACTGAATGCTGAAGCACTCAAAAAGAAGAAAAGAAATCTATCCCTGCAGCATAGTTAAACTATGGAATTCTCTCCCACAACAGACAGTGATCGACACCAACACAGATGGCTTTATAAGAGGCTTAGACAAATACTAGCCCCATGGCTGTGTGCTAATTCCACTGCCAGAGGAAGTATGCCTCTGGATACCAGTTGCTGGGGATCACAAGCAGTGTGGAGTGCTGCTGTGTTCACATTTGTGCCTTAAGCACATACAAGCAAAAGATCCCCGCTAGGTCAGACCAATGGCCCATCTAGTCCTTCATCCTGTGCTCACCCTGGCCAACCAGATGGCTGTGGGAAAGCAGGATTCGAGCCCAAGAACAACTCTCCCCACCCATGAATCCCCTCAGCTGGGAACCAGAGGCATAACGCCTCTATCACTGGAAATAAAGCATAGCCATTATGGATAGTAGCACACAGTTGCCGTGATCCAGCGGACTGTTATGTTCTTGGCCAAGAGTCTCTTTACCCCACACGAGTCACTTCCACACCAGCCCAAACGGCCTTCTGCACACCGCCTCTCACCCCGTTCGGCAGGTTCTTCACGATAAGCCGCGACATCTTGAAGCAGCTGCGTTTTCTCCCCCTCTTTCAGGACCGGAATCCAACGAGAAGCGCTTCAAGGGAGAAATAACATTACTCCTGGCAGCCACGCCGCTCCCTGGGCGCCGCCATGTTGCGATGTAGCTCGAGGTCACGTGACAAGAGGCTCCACCCTCCCGCTAAAGCGCATGCTCGGCGGAGGAAAAGCTCCTCCTCTGTTAAAGCGGCTGAGGCTAGATTGGGAAGTAACCCAAAGGGGATGCAGAGCAAAACGATGCCTTGTCGCCACTTCCGGTTCTGAGTGGAGTTTCTGCGGGGGAAATCCTCGCACGGGAATAGGACCAGGGGACCATAGACATATAGAGTGACTTCCCTATTTTTTCCCTATTTTAGAAGAGACATATAACAACTGGTATCCTTTTGGATGTGCTGTGGAAGCAGAGATTCATGGTATCTTTCTGGTTTTTTTGGTTTTTTATTATGCATTTTGTTATATATATATATAAACACAAAATGCATAATAAAAAAACAAAAAAACCAGAAAGATACCGAGAAAATATATATATATATATATATATATATATATATATATAAAAATTTTGGTGAACCGCCCTGAGATCTAGGGATGAAAGGCAGCAAAGATACATTATAAATAAATTAATAAGAATAATAATTGGTAAACAAATGAAAAGCCATACTGAGTGGCGTGAGTCTAGTACGGCACTGAAATGTTTGTACACCTGTGCATTGTCGTACTGTTAAATTATGGCTATCTAGTGATCTTTGAGACTTGTGGGTGAAGGGCATATTTATGCATTTCCATATAGTATAAATAGCAACATAACATTAACAGATGGAGAGGTCACGGACATGGTTATAAGGTGCTTTGGGATTGGCTGAGAATACTAATTTCCACCACCAGGGGGCATTAAAATATTATATATGATACTGTACTGTACTTCCTTTCCCATCAGTGGGATTTCTTACCTGCCGTATTTTGGAATGTGTGTAATCCACCTGAGAATAAACAGTCAAATATATACATATTTCAGGGAAGCAATTTTGTGTCAATAAAAGCTTCATTGTGTAATAATTGTGTACTATTTATGGCTGTAGAGATATAGCCTGCTCACTAAGCACACTTTCCAATTTCTGTTATTTCTGGAGAATTTATTCTCAAATGTTTGCCATTTAGATTATTTTTATTTATTTATTTTAACTGATCTCGTTTGCCAAGCGGTTAGAGCGTCAGACTAGGACCTGGGAGACCAAGGTTCGAATCCCCACTCAGCTTGTTTGGTAGCCTTGGGCCTGACACTGCCTCTCAGCCTAAACTACCTTGCAGGGATGTTGTGGAGATTAAATGAGGACGGGGAGAGTCATGTATGCCACCTTGATCTCCTTGGAGAAAAAAAGTGGGTTATGAAAGCAATAAACAAATCAATCTTCTTCTTCTTCGGCAATCACTCGTAGCCAGGTAAGATTGTCTATAATAAACACGGTTTTAACAATGAGTCTGTAAGTGACTGTGGAGGCCAATTCTGGATCCACACGTCCTTCCACGGTGGGGACATAGGTTTCTGGGTGGGAGCTGATCACAGTGTGGATTTGCCAAGCGTGCCTTCCTCTTAGCACATTTCTCCCTTGCGTCCTGAGTTTGAGTGTCTTCAAAGCCCATGACACCTTTGGTAAAGGCTGTTTTCCAATTGGAGCGCTCCCAGACCAGTGTTTCCCAATTGTCGGTGTTTATACTACATTTTTCAGATTTGCCTTGAGACATTCTTTAAACCTCTTTTGTTGACTACCAGCATTACACTTTCCATTCTTAAGTTCGGAATAGAGTAGTTGCTTTGGAAGACGATCATCAGGCATCCACACAACATGACCAGTCCAACGAAGTTGATGTTGAAGATTCATTGCTTCAACACTGGTGATCTTTGCTTCTTCCAGTACACTGGTATTAGTTCGCCTGTCTTCCCAAGTGATGTGTAAAATTTTTCGGAGACATTGTTGATGAAGCAATAAACCTGTGGTGCTTTTGGCAAGGTGTTGTTCCACACAGTTTCCAGGTGGTGGCAGTATTCTGGTTTTAAAACCTCATGTTCTGCTAAGTTTTGAAGGTGAACATGTTGATTCAGTCAAATTGAACAAGAAGCTGTTTTCCCCCTTCCCCCCAAACCCTGATGATTAAAGGCACTAATTGATTGCTGCAGGACATTGGTTGTGGCTAAGTCTCTGATAACAGCTTCAGAAGGATGCAAGGATGGAAGACCCAAAACCACAAGACCGTAAAACTCTCAACAGCCTCCTGCATAATCTCTTTCAAAGAGGGCGTGTTTGACAGTGGAACTCATGGTCACAGGATATACAGTGGTACCTTGGTTCTCAAACTTAATCCGTTCGGGAAGTCCGTTCAACTCCCGAAACCGTTCGAAAACCAAGGCACGGCTTCTGATTGGCTCCGGAAACAATGCCGATAGCTGAAAAAGACCTTCGGCTTCCAAAAAAGTTCACAAACCAGAACACTCAGGAGCCAATTTGTTCAACAACTAAGTCATTCGTGAACCAAGGTACCACTGTATTGCACTAATATTTACACTGCAGGGAAAACATTTTTAAAAAATGTAAGCAGAAAGCTTATAATTGAATTGGGTTTTGAGGTGGAGATTGTTTTTTTAAAACAAAAACAAAAAACAAAACAGCGCAACTGTTATTCCTTGCTAGGTATGAGCTACTGGTGTTCTCGTCTGAGTTTAATCTCGTAGTGCAAAACCACTCTGTGAGTTTCACTGTCACATGGTCGAGAAATTTAACATAAGATCCCTGCTGGTATCAGGCAACCCCTGCCCCCAAACATTCAGTCTTGTTCTCAGAGTGGCCAACTGCAAGCAGGATCTGAGCACAAGAGATTTCCTTTGTCTGTCCTGAATCTTCCAGAGTTTCACTTTCAGGGTGAGGATTTAAAATGTTGTCTGTTTTAAAATTTATTTGCTTATCCTCTTAATCCTCATTCTTCACTGTAACCAAGTGTTAAGATCAGCAATTCGCTTCCCCATTCTTCTCTCCTCCCCTATTTTCTTCTGTTGTCAATTTTAGATTGTAAGTCCCATCACCTCCTGGCAAATAGAAGGGGAAGAAATGGAGGCAGTGAGAGATTTTACTTTCTTGGGCTCCATGATCACTGCAGATGGTGACAGCAGTCACGAAATTAAAAGATGCCTGCTTCCTGGGAGAAAAGCAATGACAAACCTAGACAGCATCGTAAAAAGCAGAAACATCACCTTGCCAACAAAGGTCCATGTAGTTAAAGCTATGGTTTTCCCACTAGTGATGTATGGAAGTGAGAGCTGGACCATAAAGAAGGCTGATCGCCAAAGAATTGATGCTTTTGAATTCTGGTGCTGGAGGAGACTCTTGAGAGACCCATGGACTGCAAGAAGATCAAACCTATCCATTCTTCAGGAAATCAGCCCTGAGTGCTCACTGGAAGGACAGATCATGAAGCTGAGGCTCCAATACTTTGGCCACCTCATAAGAAGAGAAGACTCCCTGGAAAAGACCCTGATGTTGGGAAAGATGGAGGGCACAAGAAGGGGACGACAGAGGACAAGATGGCTGGACAGTGTTCTCAAAGCTACCAACATGAGTCTGACCAAACTGCGGGAGGCAGTGGAAGACAGGAGTGCCTGGCGTGCTCTGGTCCATGGGGTCATGAAGAGTCGGACACGACTAAACAACAGCAACAACAACAACAAAGTGGGAGATACCTGCCTGTGTTGCCTATGCAAGTCTGTCAGGTGCCTTGTAGTATACTGATGGCATTATTGATTTCTTACATTATTTTATGGAGCAAATCCTGCCCTTCCTCCGAGGTAGGTAAGGCAGCGTACAAGCCCTTCCACCTGCAAATTGTATTCTTACCAGGGATGCGGGAGAAATTCTATTGTGTTTGCATTCAGTACCAAATCTATCAAATTTGCACTATCTGCAACGATAGGGAACCAAAACCTGACCGTCCTACAAAATCCACACTTATCGAAATGTTGCAATGCAGTTCTCTAACCAATCTACATCTACAAAAATACATATACTGTATTAGGGAAAATCTGTATACAAAAGCAGATAATAGTAAAAACAACATACAAATTGTATATGGGGAAATTGCTGGCCAAAAAATGTGTACATTAATCCAAACCGCATACAAAAAAACTGTTTTTAGGAGAAATTAGCACTAAAATGCTGGTGGATTTTCATAAGGATTTTTTTAAGTAGGTTTTTTTGCAGAAAGGTGGAGAGATGAATTGAAGACCTTCAAGTGACTGAAATGTTTTTAATTAGAATTAAATTAAACAGCATTAGAATTTTTAATCAGAAATGTACACAATCTTGCAAATAATTTTTGTATCCCTTAAACTACTGGTGTGAATTAGGAAGGAGCCGCCCTTAGAGGAAAGGAAATAAACATTATTGTTTGTTCATTGATATTGTTATTTCTTAGATTTTTGTAAATATCTTTCAGGTGTCACAATATCCCATTTTAGCACTCGGGTTTTGAATGTGAAAACCGAAACGTGAAATTGTACCTCAGTCAGCATTTAAATGTGACTCTAGAGGCATTTGAAGTCTTACCAGCTGTCTGCAATCAAATACAAAAGGTCATTACATACCAGCTCTTACAGAAGTCAAATATTAAGAATCCTTAATGCAAAACTTCCGAGACAGTGAATGCACCATTGCATGAGATCTGCCGAATGCTGACAGATACTCAGCACCATTTCATGTCAGCTTCCAAATACTAGCACCATTGCATGCCAGCTATGCAATCAAAAAGTCATGCTACTACATGTGCCAGCCATCAAATACTTTCAGATCTGAAATGCCATTGTAATTCAGCTATCCCATCTTTTCAAATATGGAATCTGTAGAACAAACAGGATCAGTGTTTTGTCTCAGAATAAGGCAGCTTCTGACCATGATCCAATCAAGCCCATAATTATCAGTACCAGAAATTTGGGGGGGGGGGCGGATCTGGCCCTCCGGCTATTGTCAGATTGCAGCTCCCATCATTCTGCCCATTGACCATTTTGACTGGGGCTGATAGGAGTTTTGAGTTCAGGAGAATCTAGAGGGCCACAGCTTCCAAATCTCTGACTGGCATCAGCGCTCCAGATTTTTAGACAGGAATAGCCCCACCTAGGAGTTAACCTGGGCCCTTTGCGTACAAAAGCATGTACTCCAACCACTGTACACCACAGCCCTTCCCCTTCAGCCCAGATCCACCAGGATATCTCCTAAACAAGCAAGGCCTTTGGGTAATAACCCTAATCAGTTCTTCTGAGAACAGTGGGAGAATATCGAAACTCCAAAATTCCCAGGGGAAAATTCCCGGGTTCTCAAATCTGTTTCAGCCCTGGGCATTTGCACATATACACAACATCACAGCTTTTTTTTTAGCTTTTTTGCTCTTTTTTTTTTTTTTTACAGGCTTCCAGCCTACTTGGGCTGACCTTGTCTCTCTCGGTGATTTAAGTTTTGAAGAAGGAATGGGTGAGG